CCCTCACACTGCTCTCACACTGCCCTCACACTGCCCTCACACTGCTCTCACACTGCTCTCACACTGCCCTCACACTGCCCTCACACTGCCCTCACACTGCTCTCACACTGCCCTCACACTGCCCTCACACTGCTCTCACACTGCCCTCACACTGCCCTCACACTGCCCTCACACTGCCCTCACACTGCTCTCACACTGCTCTCACACTGCCCTCACACTGCCCTCACACTGCCCTCACACTGCTCTCACACTGCCCTCACACTGCCCTCACACTGCCCTCACACTGCCCTCACACTGCTCTCACACTGCTCTCACACTGCCCTCACACTGCCCTCACACTGCCCTCACACTGCTCTCACGCTGCCCTCACGCTGCTCTCACACTGCTCTCACACTGCCCTCACACTGCCCTCACACTGCTCTCACACTGCCCTCACACTGCCCTCACACTGCTCTCACACTGCTCTCACACTGCCCTCACACTGCCCTCACACTGCCCTCACACTGCCCTCACACTGCCCTCACACTGCCCTCACACTGCCCTCACACTGCCCTCACACTGCCCTCACACTGCTCTCACACTGTTCTCACACTGCTCTCACACTGTTCTCACACTGCCCTCACACTGCCCTCACACTGCTCTCACACTGCTCTCACACTGCCCTCACACTGCACCTCACACTGCTCTCACACTGCTCTCACACTGTTCTCACACTGCTCTCACACTGCTCTCACACTGCTCTCACACTGCACCTCACACTGCTCTCACACTGCCCTCACACTGCCCTCACACTGCCCTCACACTGCCCTCACACTGCACCTCACACTGCTCACACTGCTCTCACACTGCTCTCACACTGCCCTCACACTGCCCTCACACTGCTCTCACACTGCTCTCACACTGTTCTCACACTGCTCTCACACTGTTCTCACACTGCCCTCACACTGCTCTCACTCTGCCCTCACACTGCCCTCACACTGCCCTCACACTGCTCTCACACTGCCCTCACACTGCACCTCACACTGCACCTCACACTGCTCACACTGCCCTCACACTGCCCTCACACTGCTCTCACACTGCCCTCACACTGCTCTCACACTGCTCTCACACTGTTCTCACACTGCTCTCACACTGCTCTCACACTGCCCTCACACTGCCCTCACACTGCTCACACTGCCCTCACACTGCCCTCACACTGCCCTCACACTGCTCTCACACTGCCCTCACACTGCCCTCACACTGCTCTCACACTGCTCTCACACTGTTCTCACACTGCCCTCACACTGTTCTCACACTGCCCTCACACTGCCCTCACACTGCTCTCACACTGCTCTCACACTGCCCTCACACTGCTCTCACACTGTTCTCACACTGCTCTCACACTGTTCTCACACTGCCCTCACACTGCCCTCACACTGTTCTCACTGCCCTCACACTGCCCTCCCACTGCCCTCACACTGCTCTCACACTGCCCTCACACTGCCCTCACACTGCCCTCACACTGTTCTCATACTGCCCTCACACTGCCCTCACACTGTTCTCACACTGCTCTCACACTGCTCTCACACTGCCCTCACACTGCCCTCACACTGCCCTCACACTGCTCTCACACTGCCCTCACACTGCCCTCACACTGCCCTCACACTGCCCTCACACTGCTCTCACACTGCCCTCACACTGCCCTCACACTGTTCTCACACTGCTCTCACACTGCCCTCACACTGCCCTCACACTGCTCTCACACTGCTCTCACACTGCCCTCACACTGCCCTCACACTGCTCTCACACTGCCCTCACACTGTTCTCACACTGCCCTCACACTGCCCTCACACTGCCCTCACACTGCTCTCACACTGCTCTCACACTGCCCTCACACTGTTCTCACACTGCTCTCACACTGCCCTCACACTGCTCTCACACTGCCCTCACACTGCTCTCACACTGCCCTCACACTGTTCTCACACTGCCCTCACACTGCTCTCACACTGCTCTCACACTGCCCTCACACTGCTCTCACACTGCCCTCACACTGCTCTCACACTGCCCTCACACTGCTCTCACACTGCCCTCACACTGCTCTCACACTGCCCTCACACTGCCCTCACACTGCTCTCACACTGCTCTCACACTGCCCTCACACTGCCCTCACACTGCTCTCACACTGCCCTCACACTGCTCTCACACTGCTCTCACACTGCCCTCACACTGCCCTCACACTGCTCTCACACTGCCCTCACACTGCTCTCACACTGCCCTCACACTGCTCTCACACTGCCCTCACACTGCCCTCACACTGCCCTCACACTGCCCTCACACTGCTCTCACACTGCTCTCACACTGCCCTCACACTGCTCTCACACTGCCCTCACACTGCTCTCACACTGCTCTCACACTGCCCTCACACTGCTCTCACACTGCCCTCACACTGCCCTCACACTGCCCTCACACTGTTCTCACACTGCCCTCACACTGCCCTCACACTGCTCTCACACTGCCCTCACACTGCCCTCACACTGTTCTCACACTGCCCTCACACTGCCCTCACACTGCTCTCACACTGCCCTCACACTGCCCTCACACTGCTCTCACACTGCTCTCACACTGCTCTCACACTGCCCTCACACTGCCCTCACACTGCCCTCACACTGCCCTCACACTGCTCTCACACTGCCCTCACACTGCTCTCACACTGCCCTCACACTGCCCTCACACTGCTCTCACACTGCCCTCACACTGCTCTCACACTGCCCTCACACTGCACCTCACACTGCTCTCACACTGCCCTCACACTGCTCTCACACTGCCCTCACACTGCCCTCACACTGCTCTCACACTGCCCTCACACTGCTCTCACACTGCCCTCACACTGCCCTCACACTGCCCTCACACTGCCCTCACACTGCTCTCACACTGCTCTCACACTGCCCTCACACTGCCCTCACACTGCCCTCACACTGCCCTCACACTGCCCTCACACTGCCCTCACACTGCTCTCACACTGCCCTCACACTGCCCTCACACTGCCCTCACACTGCCCTCACACTGCTCTCACACTGCCCTCACACTGCTCTCACACTGCCCTCACACTGCTCTCACACTGCCCTCACACTGCCCTCACACTGCCCTCACACTGCTCTCACACTGCCCTCACACTGCCCTCACACTGCCCTCACACTGCCCTCACACTGCTCTCACACTGCCCTCACACTGCCCTCACACTGCTCTCACACTGCTCTCACACTGCCCTCACACTGCTCTCACACTGCCCTCACACTGCCCTCACACTGCCCTCACACTGCCCTCACACTGTTCTCACACTGCTCTCACACTGCCCTCACACTGTTCTCACACTGCCCTCACACTGCCCTCACACTGCCCTCACACTGCCCTCACACTGCTCTCACACTGCCCTCACACTGCCCTCACACTGCCCTCACACTGCCCTCACACTGCTCTCACACTGCCCTCACACTGCCCTCACACTGCCCTCACACTGCTCTCACACTGCCCTCACACTGCCCTCACACTGCCCTCACACTGCCCTCACACTGCTCTCACACTGCCCTCACACTGCCCTCACACTGCTCTCACACTGCCCTCACACTGCCCTCACACTGCTCTCATACTTGGTTGAGCTAAACTGGTATTATCTAATTGTGTTGAGTTCTGCTCATATTTTATTACCATTTTATAGCAAATAAACTGATAATGTGAGAAATTTTAAGATGTCTGAATAAATTTGGGTTTGACGGTAAATCTCTTGTTTTGTTGATCATATTCTTAACCGAATTGTCTTGATAACACGCGTCTTTGGAGAATTGATGCATTTTGCGGATGTTTTTATAAGAAAAATATGATCATAACAGATAAATCAGTTTAATGCACTACTGGGAGATTTCTTTTGCCCTCATATTGTAAATACCTGGAACATTTTTGTTACTTTGGATGGCGTTTTCCCCCTCAAATCCTCGTTAATTCTGACCCTGGATCTTGGACGGGATCGGGAGCATGTTGTTATTCAGAGAAACTCAATCCAGATCTCTCTCTCTCTCTCTCTCTCCATAAACAGAACCTACGTTTATCCTCAGTGTTTCAGGGCGTAGGTGACTATAAACACATTTAATTATTGCATCATGATGTTTTACCACCAAGTGTCAGATTGCCGAAGGCTCTCGTCTCAAACTTATGGTCTGATTGGCTTTAAAAAATACCTGGATGTGGTTCAGTGGTGATGTCATATACTGGGTTTCTATGGCGTTGATATATATAGGTGAAAGAGTGTCCTGTGCAGTTGCCAGGGTGTTGCTATGTGGTTGTTAAGGTGTTCTGAGAAGAATATACATTGTTATTATACATTTGCTAATATGTTCTGCGTAGTTTCTAAGTTTCTATTGCTATATAGTTAAGTGTTCTGGGCAGTTGCCAGGGTGTTGCTTATCTGGTTGCTAAGGTGTTCTGAACACCTTAACTTTTCTTGCTATACAGTTAATGCTGTACTCATACTTTTCTCGCTATACAGTGGCTAGTGTGTTCTGGGTAGTTTCTAAGGTGTTGCTATATAGTTGAAAGAGTATTCTAGGCAGTTGCCAGGGTGTTGCTATATGGTTGCTAAGGTGTACTGAGTTTTAAATCCTTTTTTACACAGTTGCTAGGGTGTTCTAAGTAGTTTCTAGTGTGTTGCTATGTGGTTGCTAAAGTGTTCTGAGTTGTATATACTTTTCTTGCTATACAGTTGTTAGGCTGTTCTTGGGTGTTGCTATATGGGTGTTAAGGTTTTCTGAATGGGAAATACTTTGTTGCTATACAGTTGCTAGGGTGTTCTATGTTGTTGCTAGGGAGTTTTGGTTCAGTTACTATGAAATTTCGAGTGGTTGCTATGCAGTTGCTGGGCTATTCTGAGATGGGGCACAACTGCGTCTTTTGTTTTGCTGGTTTTGTTTAATAAGTGTATTTGAAAGTGTCTTGCTTAATGAGTAATTATTAATGTCTTTCTGTTTCAG